TTTATGAGAGTTTTATAACCCTTCCATTTAATCTTTTATGTATTCCATTTGAATGTTCTTAACAGAGGAATTATTTCTGTACTGCAGACCTGTATTTTAATTTCCAACTGCAAACTGTATATATTAGATTCTGCAAGGAGATTCCCAAAGAGACTGCATCCCTATACGTGTAACCACTTGCATTGCTTTTGCTGTAAGAGCCTCTGTATGAGGCATGACATGTCTCTCTTATAGCAACGTTGCCTGTGGAGGTTGTCTTCTTGGCATGCAGTGATGGATAGTGGATTTCAAGAGGCATGCTTGGACCTTCATTTTTCTAGACTCACTAACATTGGAGATGGCCTGCTTGAGTCTTGGGCTACGGTGTGGATAAGGCTGGTACTGCTGGGAGGGAGAATCACAGGGCAGTGTCCCTTGGCCACAGCTCTGGGATTCTCTCACAGGAGCTATTGCTCATGTACAGAAAGAGGCAGTAAGACGAGACCTAGCCAAAGTGTGAGGAGATGCTGAGCAGGCCACAACTGTGGAGATTTGTAGACTCCCAGCACCCTCTGTTCCCTTCCTCCTGTCCAACACAGCCTTCACTGTCAACATCTCATTTTTCAACACCTCAGTGCTGGAGCTCTGAATAATGCTGCCAAAACACCACTCCTTGGCCTCCAAACACTCAGTCGCTCTCCCTGGACACAGTCACACTCTTAAGTGGTGTAGGTAATAGTCTCTGGCATTTTAATTCAACTAAACCACGTCACTGCAGGCACCCAGGATCCTAATGCTCCTCTGTTTAAACATTCCTCAGTCCTGGTGCACAACAGAAATCTATCATGGACTGGTTCTCTCAGACATGGAAGGAAATTGATATACACAAGAAAAGCAAGCCTCTCCTTTCTCTTTTCTTCCTTATGTTTACCTGGAGCTAGGTGCTCTCAGAGGGTTTCAGACAAGAAAAGTTTTCTCCCTCATAGGTGAGTTTTTCTGGCTGTCCATGTTGGACATGAGCACTGTGTTAGTCTCATCTGTATGAAGGGCTCTTTTGCACAAAAATGCTGGACATTGGGGCATTGGAAATACTAACCTGAAGCTTGCACCTTTCTAACCTGAAGCTTGCACCTAAGAAGCAGTTAGAGTATGGAGTATATGTTTTCTTATTTTCAAATATAAAAGAGGAGTTTCTCCTCACAGGGAGTAGAGGGTTGGGGAAAGAAGGAGGGTGTTTAAGCACCAGGTGACAATGTCCATCACACTGCTCAGTGATGAAGCTAAGACGACAAAAATAGACAAAGTGACCTCATGGCTTTCAGCAGCAATGCCTACGAGACAAAAGAGAGGCTTTAAAAGGCTTGTGGAGCAGATAGCAAAGGTCTTGGACACCTCAGAGTTTTGGTTCTGCTCCAAAAGGGAACTGCTTTGCTTCTCTCTTATTGCCTCTCTGTCTGTTTATGGGGAGTTGTGAATTAAACGGGCTTTGTGACATGCCCAGCTCTCCAGGTCTGGACTCTGCCTTCTCAAGCTTGGATCAGCCTTATGCAGGTACAGATGTCTCCTTTTTTCTTTCCTTTTCTTTCCTTTTCTTTCCTTTTCTTTTCTTTTCTTTTCTTTTCTTTTCTTTTCTTTTCTTTTCTTTTCTTTTCTTTTCTTTTCTTTTCTTTTCTTTTCTTTTCTTTTCTTTTCTTTTCTTTTCTTTTCTTTTCTTTTCTTTTCTTTTCTTTTCTTTTCTTTTCTTTTCTTTTCTTTTCTTTTCTTTTCTTTTCTTTTCTTTTCTTTTCTTTTCTTTTCTTTTCTTTTCTTTTCTTTTCTTTTTCTTTTTCTTCCCTCTTCTCTTCTCTTCTCTTCTCTTCTCTTCTCTTCTCTTCTCTTCTCTTCTCTTCTCTTCTCTTCTCTTCTCTTCTCTTCTCTTCTCTTCTCTTCTCTTCTCTTCTCTTCTCTTCTCTTCTCTTCTCTTCTCTTCTCTTCTCTTCTCTTCTCTTCTCTTCTCTTCTCTTCTCTTCTCTTCTCTTCTCTTCTCTTCTCTTCTCTTCTCTTCTCTTCTCTTCTCTTCTCTTCTCTTCTCTTCTCTTCTCTTCTCTTCTCTTCTCTTCTTCTCTTCTCTTCTCTTCTCTTCTCTTCTCTTCTCTTCTCTTCTCTTCTCCGCTCCGCTCCGCTCCGCTCCGCTTCGCTTCTTTTCGCTTCGCTTCGCTTCGCTTCGCTTCCCTTTGCTTCCCTTCTCTTCCCTTTTCTTCCCGTCTCTTCCCTTTTCCTTCTTCACCCATTCTTTTCCTCTCATTTTCATTCTCCTCTCCTCCCTCTATTCTTTTGCCTATTCTGATTTCACTCTTGCTCTTTACCTTCAGCAAGTCATCTCAGAAAGATTTCTCTTTCTCTTTTTTCTTAAACTGTTGTGGGAGATTGTAGATTGAATAGCATGATCATTTTTCCATTGGGAAGATTGGTATAATTAGTTATGCGCTTTAGCCTTTGATGAGGAGGAAAGTAGGGAGAAGAGGGAGGCAAGTAGCAGGTCCCAGAGGGCCTTTACTTTCCAGCTGCTTCAGTGCACAGGGCAGTTCAGAGCAGCTTCCCAGGGAAGTTGCTGAGCCAGGGCCAAGAGTTGGTGGAGGTATAGCCAAGACTGTCTTCTATTATCTTTTCTCTGACAGTATTTGCTAGCCCAGACTCTAGAGTTGAGTGCTTTCCTGGTACTCAGCTGTCAGAAGAGGCTGCATAGACATTCACTTTGGATAGTGCAGCTTCCTAGCTGTTTGCTCCCAATGCCAGAAATCCTCCTGTGAGTCACTCAGGGTCCAGAGTTTACATATTCTGCACTTGACTAAGATTCTGTAGTGCTGCTCTTCCTCCTTGTAAATTTAGAAGCAAAATATGATTGAGGTGAGGTGTAGTAGCTTGTAGCAAGGAGCAGGAAAAAAGTCTCTCTCATTTCCTCCATTGTGAACAACCCCCAGAGACACATGCGTGCAGATTTGTAAGTGTAGTGGACAGACCTTCAGGGACTGTAGATTATTTCCATCATGGAGAGAAGGTCTTTGAGGGCAAGTCTACAACTGCCCTGAAGAGCACTAGGTCTCCACAGAAAATCTGGACACTACTTTGGTCTTGGTTCAGCAAGGCAGAGCAATTCTGTAAGGAAGGTTCTGAGAGAGCCTTCACTTTGCAAGTGCAAATACAAATATTGAGCCATTTTTTCAGCACTGATTTTGCTGTTTCCAGTTTTCTGGATGCAAAGGGGAGGAATGGACTTTGTATCCATGTGAGATGATCTTAAGCCACAGAAGTCCCCTTGCTGAAATCCCAAAGCAGTAGCATGTGCTATGGAATGGTTGCAAACCTCGAGAAGAGTCTTTCCTTGTGTTTATTTTGAGCTTCCTGGAAGGACGACTGCTCTGCAAATTAACACCTTATTTTCAGCATGAGAGAGGGAAGATCTTTCTGCTGTGGTTACACCGGTGCAGTATGGAACGATGACACCTGCCACAACTGTGCAGCCTAGCCAGGTTTTGGGGGACATGTGCAGCCCTCAGGAAAAATAGTATCCTTCTTAGCTAAGCTCCCTGTCCTTACTGCAGGTAACTTTGCCACAGTAGCATGTCCCCATTGAATGAATACTCTGTGATAAAATGGTCAGAAGTGAGATCCTGAGAGGACTGAGCAGCTTTCATCCTCTCTTGAGCTAACACCATCCCTCAGCACTGCCTTCTACCTCTCCTCTCCCTCTCCCTCTCTCTCCTTTCCCCCTCTTTCTCTCACTTTTCCCTCTTCCTCTCCCCTCTCCCTCTCCTTCTCCTCTCTCCCTTCATCAAGGCATAATTCTGTACCTCTTTCTTAAGAATGTCAGGGCTAGACAAGATCCTACACAGTTTTTTGACAAATTATTAGATGCAGGCAGTGAACAGATGTTTCATCTGTACTATTCTGCTGGGGAAAAGACAATGGGAGTAAGGAAAAGGATAAAATGAAAGAAATCATAAATTAGTCTATGGTTTAGGTATGTGGGTTTTTTTCTGTGCAAGGTTAGAGCTGATTTCTGTCACCTGAACACTGATTCAAGGCATGTCTACACTTGAATCTTTTTCACCCCATGCTTTCCCTGCATGCAAGGCAGAGAACACAACGTTCCTCCCTGGGGCTTTACTGACCACTGGGCTGGCAGAGCAGGTGGAAAATTATTATCCCACACTTTCATGCCAGTGTCCCAACAGGTGTTGGCTTTTCCAGGCAAGCCTGTCTAAGTGGATTCCTTCTGGCCTGGCTGATCAGTTGTGGCGGTCTGGGATTCCTGCTCAGGAGTAAATGCTCTTCTTCCTTGCTGGGCATGGGACACAGCCAAGGGACTACAGCAAGGGTGAAAACATGCCTTTTGCTGTTGCAGGGCTCCTGTGGAGAGCAGCAAACAGCCCTATGCACAACGCTGCTGCAAGATATTCTGACTCTGTAGCTGACACTGCAGGGCCCAGAGCAGGAACAGTCAGACTGTACCTGCAGAGCACCTCTCTGATTGTACACATGCATGGGTGCTAACAGTAGCCGTGGCTGCTTCCCAAACTCTCAGGGCCAGAGAGATTACTTACTCCTGGGAATCCTCCATATGGTAGGAGGAAGGTCTACAAAAAGCATGGCTCCACCTTCAGGGTGATAAGTAAATGGTAAAAATTCCCAGGAGCAAGGGCACGCATTATAAAAACAGCCTGGAACTCTTGGTCACATGTTGCAGAAATAGGAAATCCCAGGTCTGACCAGGAAACAGAGACCGGCAGTCAGAGTAGAGGTAGCTCCGGCCCCACACCTTCACAGACTTCTATTGTGTCTGCAGGGAAAGAGAAAACTGCACCTGGGTTTCTATCAGCAGTTCCTAAAGACACTATCAGCAAAGGTAGGAAAGAAAAAGGGCAGGGTGTGACAGTGTGTTTCTTTGTATGGGCACTAGAATACCTATAGCCACATATGTCCATCTTTGCTCACCCAGTCTTTTGATGAACTCTGAGCTTGCATCTTTTTGTCTCTTGCAGAACTCCACCGCCACGAGAGCATCCAAGAGAAGAACGTGAAAGAAGCCAAAACCAAGTGCAGAACCATTGCATCCCTGCTGACAGATGCACCCAACCCCCACTCCAAAGGGGTGTTGATGTTCAAGAAGCGCAGGCAGAGGGCTAAGAAGTATACATTAGTAAGCTTTGGAAGTGTCGACGAAGACCGCTCCTACGAGGAAGAAGACGGAGTTTTTCCAACTAGTGAGTCTGAATTTGATGAGGAAGGTTTCTCTGATGCCCGAAGTCTAACTAATCACTCAGACTGGGACAGCACTTACCTGGACATTGAAAAGTCCAAGTCTGAGTCTAAACAAAAGGAAGAGAAGCAAAAAGGTTTGAGTGAGGCCTCGGGTAAAGGAGCACGATTATTTGAGCAGCAGAGGGAACGGGCTGGGAAGTACACAGTTGAGAAAGTCCCAGTGCAGAAGAGCCCCCAGCTTGCCCCAGCTGCCCAGCCACAGCACAGCACAGTGAACGGAGATATGCCTGTGCCACAGAAGGTAGACAGCGTGCCCCTCAGCATCCACCTGGAAGGTGTGCAAGTGCCCAGCAAGCAGCCAGCCACCCTCCCCACTGAGCTCCTGGCTCCCCCTAGCCCCACTTTCTTTCCACCTCCCCCAAGCACCCCTGACCCTTTCTCTGCAAGCTCAACGAGCATGTTCAACAGGTCAGCACGGCCTTTTACTCCTGGTTTTTCTGGCCAACGCCCAGCAACATCCTCTGTCATCTTCAGGCCATCTGCACCCAAAAAACCTAGTGAAATTCTGGGTGTGCAAAGCACGGTGGTTCCCCCTTTCTCACCTCTGGCTCCAGGAACACCTGCCAATGCATCAGTGACAACACACCGTGGCCCAGTCAGCTCCTCCACATCTCTGTATATTCCTGCACCAGGAAGACCAACACCACCACTGGAGTCAAAGCCAAAAGGAGGAGGAAGTGCTCCAGAGACTAAACCTTCTGCCAGCACTGCCCGGACATCCACCACCTCTATCTTTCTGTCAACTCCCTCAAAGCCAGGAGGGGAGGTGGCCTCCTCAGCATCCCAGCCACGAGTCCCTGGAACAGCCTCTTCTTCTTTGTATATTAGTCCAGCACCATCACAGCACACAATAAGCAGTACCCCCGTGCCAAAGCAGCCTTCTCCTGCTGTCTCACCAGCAATGCCACGACCTCCTTCTGAGCCCTTAACCTCCAGGGAGCAGAGGATTGCTGTGCCGGCTCCCCGTACAGGCATCCTGCAGGAGGCTCGCAGGCGGGGCAACAAGAAACCCATGTTCAGTAAGATTGAAGAGAAGAAGAAGAATTCACCCAACCCTGAACTCCTGTCTCTGGTGCAGAACCTGGATGAGAAGCCGAAAGGTGACCACCCCGGGGCAGGCTTCGAGTCTGGGCCTGAGGAGGACTTCCTCAGCCTGGGTGCTGAGGCCTGCAACTTCATGCAGTCCTCTGGCCGCAAGTTCAAGACCCCACCTCCAGTGGCTCCTAAGCCTCAGCAGCAAGATGCTGGACTGGTAAATGGGTCCCAGGACATGCCTCAGCTTAAAGGCAAGGGGGCAGAGCTCTTTGCCAAACGCCAGAGCCGCATGGACAAATTTGTGGTGGAGACAACACCAAAGCCACAGTCCAAGCCCAGAACCCCCTCTCCTTCCCCTTCTCTACCCTCATCTTGGAAATATTCACCCAACATCCGGGCTCCCCCTCCAATAGCTTACAACCCAATGCATTCCCCTTTCTATCCCCTGGCAGCCAGCAGATCTCAGGCTAGCAAAGCAGAGAGCAAAGTGAAAAAGGCACCTGGCCAGAAATCAGGGATCAAGGTCATTGATGTAATGCGCCATCAGCCCTATCAATTAAAGTCAGCCATGTTCTGTTTTGGGGATCCTCCAAGCCCCAGCGTTCAGGAGTCTCCTGGTCAGCCAGCCCCGCAGGCTAGCTCGTCCTTCATGGCAGCCAAGCAGGTCCCTGTGAAAACAGCCAAGACCCAGGAGATTCGTCGCTTCTCCACTCCGGCTCCCATGCCAGCCTCAAGCAGCCTGGCACCCACAGTGCTTGTCCCCCGCTCGGCCACCACGTTGGATGAGCCAGTGTGGAGAACAGAAATGGCCTCTTCTGCCCCTGCTACACCGGCACCCTTTCAGGTGGAGCTCAGCCAGTCCCCTAAACCATACCAGAGCTCCCCAGAGCCTGGTCAGGTGGGCCAGGGGCCTTCTCCAAACCCAGCCTCAGCCTCTCGATTTCAGGTGGCCAGGCCCAAATTCTCAGCGGCAAGAACAGGAATGCAGGCCAATGTGTGGAGGCCAAGCTTTGGCCATCACTGAGGCAGGCACCCCTCCCATCCCGTTCATGGCGCCGCAGAGATAGTGCTCATGTTGCCTTTCATGTCAGCTCAGTACATTGGGATGAGTAACATAAAATTAAGAAAAGAGAAAAAAAATATTATCCCCTTCTGCACCACCCTCTCCCCCAAACTCCCCTTGATCTCAGATGGGCAGCTTCATGGGCAGGGCTTACTGGCTGTGGCTACAATAGGAGGAGGAATGTGGAGAGAGGGCATGTGTGTGGTACACAGAGACTGGGAACTTGCACACAGCAGGAAAACCCACTGCTGGAGGGTGTGAATGGCAGAGGTTGTCTCACATGTAGGTGGTAGTATTTTTCCTTTTCCAAGGGTTTTCGAGTCACCCCTGAATGGCCAGAGACCAGGGGACAGGAGCTTTCCAGGAAGAAAGGGTCAGAGGTGGAATTACAGTACAGAAGCCCTAGCTAGCGTTTTTTCTCTGAGCTTCTCAGTCTGTACACACACACCTCTGTGTGCACACACGCACACAGCAACACTCAGCAGGAAGTGAAAGTAGAGATGGGACTTGGCCTTAGACACTTCTCCCAGACACCCCTCCGGAGAGGCATGGGAAAGGAGGTGAGAGAGCAGAGCGAGCAGTGTGCCTTGTGCAGGAGGGTGGACATATGTGCCTGTTCCTCCTGCCACCAGGGCTGAGGGTAAATGGGAGAGTCATCCTAACTGGTGCTAAACATAGTTACCAGGTCTGGGAGCAGTTTGCCAAAGAGGGGCATTGAAGGGACTTGGTGGGGCTATCACAAATTGGAAAAACTGGAGAAGGAATGATCAATTTTTGAGGATACACAAAGTCAAAGCTAAGGCTAGGCAGTGGCTGGTTGGCACAAGGAGGGCCCTGCAGCATTAGTCCCACTGGAACAGGATACAGATGCTGTAAGTACAAAGGAGGACTGCATAGGAGAAGGTACAGTTGGCTTTAAAAGGAGGCAGGACTGAATATGCAGTTGTGCATCACCTTTTAGTTTAGGACAGAAGTATGGCTAGATTGGAAATGGGTCATGACATAAAAGTTGCTGAAAACACTGTGATGAGCTGGAAAACAGCCCCTTTACAGGTGCTCTCAGTATGGGAGTAGAAGACAGGGAAACAGAAAGTCACAAATAGAATTTTATACTAAACATTTTAAGTATCCTTGGTGTCTATTTGCTAAGAATTGAAGTGTTCTAAGAGTCCCAGAGGATCTGTACTCACACACACATACAGAGCTCAGTTTGCTGGCGATTCTAGGGAAACAGGACTGGTTATTCCTTGAATGTCTCAGGCTAGCATCAGACTTAATCCCTACACTAAAGTCATACAAGAAGAAAGCATTCCCTTTCCCAAGGAAGAATTCAGGATATTAGTAGGGACTGTGCATGTGTGTGTGCGTGTCATCTGTGCTCTGGTTTGCACACACCCCTGCTATTTGCTTTCTACCTGTACTCTCTCTTTTGTAGCAACCACCTTCACAGTGTGAAGTACACCAAGAAATCATTGCTCCTGGAGCACTGGCTCTCAAACACAGCAGATGCCCCAGCTGCAGGGAAGGGACTTGCCACCACTTCCTGGGCAGGGGTTGCCCAGCCTTTTGCTAGACCCTCAGGAATGCGTAGTGGAGGCAGGATAAGGGTCTCACAGCCCTGCTTGAGATATGTCTCCACCTCATTAGAGACATCTCATTGCTCCTCTTCCTCAAGCAGAAGCTGTTCTCTGACTAGACTGAGCACAAACTTTGGATGTACAAAACCGAAGGTTCTGGGGAGAAAAAAAGGAGTGCAAATGGGGCTGATGTCAAGCAGTGCAGCTAGTGTGGTTTTACACTAAGTCCAAGCCAAGATTCCTCCACGCAGTTGGAATTTACAATGCATAGCTCTTTTCATGAATGCTGGGGGGCTCTATTTTTTCTTGGAGGTTTTAAAGTGCTTCTCTGTGAGCACCTGAAGATTTTGCATGTGTGCTCTCCCACAAAGAAAAAGAGAGCTGGAGAACTTAGCTAGCAGCTCTAGTCCTGGACAAGCTTGGGAGGGAGAGGAGAGAAAAGGAAAAGTAATACACAATCCTGCCTTTGAATCCTTCACACTGTGGCTGGGCTTGTTCTGCAGGCCTGTGCTTGCAGTGCACATTCCTCGGGGCCCTGAAACATAGGATGAGCATGCTGAGGAGAGAGGAGAACAGCACTTACACCTCACTTGTCAGACTATCAGCCATGAGAGAGGATGCAGGGAAAACCTTTGGGAATGCCTTGAATTAATGAACAAATGTGTGGCTGAGCCAGAAGAGGTGCTGCACCTGGCCGTATGACACAGGAGCAGCCAACCTGAACTGTTGAGGTGATTGTATGTGTTCTTGGAAAGCCAGAGGGGAGGTCTTAGGTCAAGTCATCACTACAGAGCTAATTCAGATCACCAGCATACACTTAGCTCTGGTGAAGGGGAGCAGCTGTGCTACAAAACCTAACTTGGATGATTGCTTTCTCACTCATCCTGTGCTGCATTGCATTGCCAGTGTTCCTGAAAAAATTCCTGTGTGCTGTAGCAAGCTGAATCTCTGTGATTTTTTGCAAACACAGAAGGAGGAGTTCTCTGTTTTTCTAGAAAAGCTGTGGGAAGGAACTCAAGGACTAGCAGTGCTCCAGAAGTTTTGTCTGTAGTCTCCTTGTGGGGGGCTGTCTGTCACTGGCTAGTGGTTTTAGCCACTAGCCTTAGACAGACAAGTTAGCCCAGGTTGAAAACATTACTGAACTCAGGTGTAGAGAGGGGTTGTGTGGACCAGAGAAAGGGTGCTCAAGATAATTCTGCAGTGAAGAAATAACCTCAGAAAGTCTGAATCTTACTCCAGTGTCCCTTTTCCCTCGGGCTCTAAAGGTAAGTGCTCTCAGGGCCTGAGTGTCTCGGGAAATTCATTTTGCCACTGGAAAAAAAGAGATATCTGGCTTTGGGATTACATGTGATTACACGTGGTTAGTATTTCAGTAGTCCCACTCCAGATTTCTGGAAGACACCGATGCAAGCCAAGGAGTGATGGCAAAACAGTGCTGAATATCAGATGTCAGGAGTCAAGTGAGTGGAATAACTGGATTTGGCCCATCATTTCTGATGATGTAATAGGCAGAAGATGAAAAAAGTTAGGTCCAATTGGAGAACAAATATTAAACATCAGAGCAAGGAAAAGAAGCAGGAGCCTGGGGATCCTGCATTTCATTCCTAACATCCTTGTTTCAAAGCTATGTTTAGAAGCAAAACCAAAGTAGTTTGATGGAGCCCCTCCCAATCTTTTCTGGATCTTATGCTGACACAGGACTTGATCTGCAGAAGCATAGAGTGTTGCAGATGAGGCCTACAGTGCTTGTGGTGTATCCCAAATAAGGCCTGTGGCTGCAAGTAGCATGAGATGAGAAATAATACTGAGATGCATCTGCTAAGCTATAAGGAAGAAACCTGCACTACCGCTGGCTTCAAGCAGCTCTACTAGTGTCTGCTCATGAAAATATTGTGGCTGGCCTGTTAGAAAGGTCACAGGTGAGGTTACAAGGAATACTTTTGAGCCATATAAGCTTGTCTTGAACCTCTCCAAATTTCTAATTCCTCAGCTGTTGAACAAGCACAGACATAAACAGTTGTTTGACAAGTTTTAGCTCCCACCTGCTAAGTTATAAGCTGCAGTAGTAGGCCAAACCCCAGTGTCCCCTTGTTAAGCATTTGAAGATGTCTGCATGGGCTCTGATTTAAAATTGCCTATCATCCCTCCTCTCTAGCATGCTGCAGGTTACACACTGCAGCTACGACAATTCTGGGGGTTTATCTTTGCTTCAGAAGTATCAGTCCTTTCCCTGTGAATATATGGGAACACTTGTCAGAGAGAACCTCAAGATCCTGCTGCAGCTGAGAGGAAGAATCTGAGAAGAGACTGGTGTGATGAGGAGTCACAGGTCACCAGACATGAGTACAATGCAAGCTAAGATTGCCCCTCGGAAAGAATATGCTCCCTTTCTGCAATAATATCCAGCATCCCCTACCAGACCCTCTTCCTAGAAGAGACTTGTCAGTGCTCAGAAAATGGGAGCCCAGCGGCAGTGCTCTGTCTGATGGAAGATGTGATCCCAGAATAAGAACACAGTTGGCATCTTTGTTTATGGAAATACATTTTTTCCTTTTGTTTTGTCTTTTTTTTTTTTTTTCCAATTTACACTTTCTATTTGTTTGTGCAGAAGAATAAACTTGTGATATGCACTTTACATGTGGCATTTTGTCACCTTCTTTGCTTGGCACCCAGGAGCATCTGCTATGTGTACAGCACAAGCAGTTAGAACTACCAACAAACTACTAAAGCCAAGAGAATATAAGGAATCCAAAAAAAGGATAGGATGCCTCAGCAACAGAAACACCTAAGTTGGACTTAAAACCCCTATACAATAAAAAATTCCCATGCAAGCAAAAACTTAAGTGAGACATAAAACTTTGGTACTACAGGCTACAAAACACTTACTGACAGGGTGAAGAAATTCATGGACCAGCCCCAGCAGGCCTGCCCCAGCCCTGCCCCTCACACTGCTCTAACCTAAATCCTACTCTCTGCTTGTAAATATATCAGTGTAAGTTTGTCAGCTCTGGTAAATCCAAACATAAACTCACATTGAATGATTAAACTTATTTTTAATATTAACCAAGAGATCAGAAAACCAAATCAGTCAGAAAATCAAATATATCCCATTGTATCTCAGGCTCCAAGCATAATCAATCCTAACTCTAGCGCTAACCCAATTTGTATTAAAGTCTACTCAATTTCTGTGTCCTGAGAGGTTCACTGTGCTTAGTTTAGGAGAAGCGCTAGCAGGTCACCTTTCCCAGATGCATGTCACTCCCAGACAGCAATTCCTGAGCACTGCAGGAGATGCTCATGTCAGGTGTAGGGTTAGACTGCACTCTGGACACTTGTCCAGGTACCATTATGTGGATGTTTTTCAGATTAATTACCAGGAGGGGTCTTGGGACTATCCAGCATATTTCTGATTGATTTGCAGACAGGAAATGCACAAAGGGGCAGCGATGTTTGCTGATGCTAAATTTGAGCTTCTCCCCAACCAGAAGCACAGCTCCCAAAGAACTAGGTCTGCAGATGAACAGGCTGCAGATTATGACTGCATCTTGTTTTGCTTAATAAAGCTGACATAGTAGGATTATGAGCTACTCCAGATGGTTTGACACATTGCAGGACAGTTGCTGCGTCCAGGGCTCTGATTAAATTCCCTGTTAACCTCTACAACTTTCTCAAGTGAGAGTCTTCTCGCAGCAGATCATGTCAGAAGGAGCCTAACAAACAGACTTTCAAAGGTAGAATGGGAGCCAGCCCTGAGGTTATTGGCCCAAAGCAAAACTGAAGGATTGTTCCCCAATCATACCCGATGGAAGAAGTGTCCAGCAAAGAGCACAGCAGGGCAAGTATGTGTCACGTAGAACAGTAATGGTATTCCTAGGCACTCAGACCTATAGCTTCCACAGCCACTAGATGTTGCCACTGTTCTTCTCTGAGTTACCTGGGGTTTTGGCATTCGCCTGATGTAGTGTTAAATCTGGAGGGTTTCAAATCTTAGGAAATCCTTTCTTCCTAATCTATCCTCTTTTGGCATTCGCATATGGTGTTGCTCAGTCCCACGTAACAGAGAAGGCCATCCTCATACCAGGGAGTTTTGGCAGCGAGAGGCTTGCTGCAGCTTGGAGGAGATTCCTGGGTGGTAGCAAGTGGGACATGCAGGCATACAGGCTGCCCAGCAAGTACCACAGCATGGGCATGCCACACACTCCAGCTCTGTGATCAAATCCAACATATTTCTGTCTCAGTCCTACAACTCATCGAGCATTAAGCCCACTCAGTGAAAGGAGGGAGCCTGGCATTAGCTGTTTCTCCTATTGTGGTGCTACAAACTACTGACAAGTCTTCCTGATGTCTGTGTGAAAGTGGACGAGATTAAGCATATATTAAATATTTTAAAATAACAAATATTATATATGGTGAATTTAAAAATAATAATAATAATAAAATAATAATAATATTAAAAAAAAAAAACAGAAAAAAAAAAGCCAAATCAAGACTTCTGCAACTTTTTTTTCAGAACAGATTGAATCATGTTGAAATCTGCTGTTTATAAATACTTTCAGCACAGATCAGTCCTGGGCTCGAAGGAAAAGGGGGAGCAGGGTCAAGGTTTAATTCCCTGTCTTTGGAAAATTAAAATGGTGAAGGTTATTTGCCAGACTGACACTGTTTGCCAGACTTCCACATGATCAAAATGAGCTCAGCCGACAGCTTTGCTGACAACACCTGTCTTAGCTACTGCTTATGTCCATCTTGCACTGTGTAACAAGGCAGATCTCATCTGCTGCTCTTGAAATGATTTTGCAGGCATCAATAATTTGAAGTTAGACCATTTGAAATTAAGTGCAGAAGAATGCAGTGCAAAAGAAAATTAATTTTGAAGATACATGTCAGAGAAAGCAAAACTGTGCGGGCTGTTCCTAAGGCCACCTAAGCAAAGGGTGTATCTGGAAAGAGGGAGGTAGTTACAGGGAGATACATGACAGTTTCTTGTATGATTAAACACTCCTCCATGAAGAGCTGAAATGTCCTACAGGCAGCGCATGTACTACTCCACTGACCTAACTGGAAACTCCATGTACTCAAGCAAAGACTGAATTTAGCCACCTAGCTTCACCACACACCAGGTAAATCCCCCCACCAGACCAAAACTAAAATGGCTCATCAAGCAAGGCCTGTAACGATTTAAAACCTTGAGCATTGAGTAGCATGAGTGGGTAACATAACAGTAAGAGCCCTACATAACTTATCTATGCTGAGTTAGTTGTATTACTTATGGCAGAGATATCAGACTGGTACAATATTCCCAGCAGAAAAAGCCACTGAGCTGCTGAACCTGACACCATGGCAGAGCACATGTGAAGTCTCTGCTAGACCCACCACTGACATTTCTAGATGAGTGAACTAGACACTTCTATCTCTCAGGAGAAACTGTGCATAGAGAGGAAAAAGGAGCAGGATTTAGTTTGCAGCCTGCTAACTGAAAATGGATGGAGACATATAATTTTATTTGAAGGTCGAGTAGGAGGTGAGAATCTCAGTTAAAGATGTGTCTTGGTGCATTAGTGTCAGACTCAAGACTGCTTTATACAAATCATCCTATAAATCCTGCTGCCATACTAATAGGATAAACCCTCTCTTACATTCCTTCTAGGTTCAAGGCTTAGGCTCTGTGAAGTACACTCCAGCTGCACTCTTAGGTCCTGTGTCTCACCCGGTGAATGTATATATGCACATGCAGATGAAAATAACCTCAGGATGATCAGGGTTGCAAGGACAGAACGGGACTTCACATAGCACTGAATGAGGACTACCGATCATCTTTCAAAGTGGAGGTGGCCAAGGTCTCTTCAGAATTTGATCCTGACAACAGCCACAGGCACAACAGCACTGAAAAACCTGGACAAGAGGTGGGTCTAAACCTTGGATTTTGCTACTGGAGTTTCTGAGGAGTCCAGTGATTGCTCTAGGAACCTAAATACTACCTACTAGCATCTAGGGAATAAAGGAATCTCCCCATTTGATCGTTTCAGCTTCCAGATACTATTTCCGAGTCCTGGATAAAGACCCTACTCTGTACTCTCTACTCCTAGCTTACTTTGCTTCATATGCCTGCTCAGCCTGTCTCATTTCCCGTTCCTCACCACTCTGCCTACTTCTCACATGAGACCTTGACATGGCACACAAATATTTTGTTCCCATCAGAGTACAGTTCCCATCAGTCCTTGAAGCTGGACTTCAAGACCATTGGCCTCACCCCTAACCCTGCTTTCCTCTTGCCCTTTGGGCTGGGGATCCACAGAGGAGTCTTGTCTCCTGAAGTTGGCTCGCCCTGAATTGCTATCAGTGCCTTGTTCCTGGTCCTAATCACTGGTGATGTCTGCTCATATCCTGACTGAGATCCTCACACACCATTCTAGACATGCCTTTCCTTCATCTCCTTGCTATTGCTTTGCCCTGGTCTTTCTTGAGTTTTCTAAGAGGGTTCACATCTGTTTCCTGCTCACCTCCAATTACCAGCTAGCCATGGGGCACCTGCTCAGCAACTCTCTCCCTGCAGCTGCCTGCTGGAGCAGCTGTGAACCCCTGGTGTGGGAGGAGGCAGAGGAGCAGCAGGTCATGTTCATGGCAGGGAAGAGCAGCAACACACTTCCCTGCTACATCATCTTTTGGGGTTACACCATGCCTCAAAAACCAGCAGGTTTCCACATGACATCCATCTGGCACAAACTGTTCCCCTAAGGTTTATTTTGTGCTCAGGAAGGCACAGGAGATGAATGGAGAAATAATACAGCAGCTATAAGCTGGTCTCCAAAAAGCTGCTGGAAGCAAGTACAGAGGAGGCAGAGTTTAGCATCACTCTAGTGGCTGCAAGAAAGTGCCATATAGTGTGAGCTGCATTTCTCAGCTTCTCACCTCATAATATAGATTACATTAATTTCCTAGATGATTATCAAAATGGAGCTAGAAACCTCTTAAAATTAAGAGGTAAATGTACCTCATGCCTTTGGGAAAGGAGAGGCAAAGGGCTGCTGATTTTAAGCAATAGAGCAGCACATTGTCTCTGTTCTCACTATGCCCCCCCTAATACATGCCATCCCCTTGTGACAGGCAATAGCTCCCTAGATAAATAGAGTTTAGAATGCAGGGAACTTGAATAGGAGAGCAGCATCTCAAAGAGCACAACTGGACTTAACAGCAAGTATTGGGCACTGGGCAAATGCTCAGCATGGTACTAAACCAATCCAAGAGAAATAAATGTGATGAAGAAATAATCCTCTTTGTTCAACCTGCAGTGAGCAGGGCTTGGCCAACACTGAGAGACCTGCTCCTCTATGGCCACCTGCACTTGGGCAGAGTGGGTGTGCAGTGTGGACAGATGGTCTGTTGTGATAGTAGTATCTGACACCTTCCAGATTTGTGCAGATGTAAATGCCTTCACCAGGCATGAAGCTCTGTGATGGTGCCCAGAGCAGGCAGTGCGTGTTTACAGTTCAACTGTGACATCCCCTACACCTGCTTTACACCGGCACAGCTCCAGGGAGTTACTCCCAGACCACTGGCATGGGAGTGTGGGGGCATGATGCAGGCTGTCCAGCCACCACGAATCATCCTGGTGTATCTGCTGGGCTCAGTGAAGGATGCAACATTCTTGGATAGTGGAAAGTTTACAGCACTGTGTTACAGTAGATACAAATAAGGGAGAATAAGAGCTGTGCTATAGGCACAATGTGAGGTATACATAGTGGTTATATGGATGCAAGCGAGAGGAGGATGGGAAACTTTAGGCCAGGAGATCGCCATACATGCCCTGATTCCTGCCATACATGCCCTGATTCCAAGCAGGGTATAAAGGCTGATTATTGCCCATAGTATGTTACAGCACTCTTATACAGGACCTTCCAAACAGTACTGGAGTTAATGCTTTGTGCTTTCAACTCACCTATCACACTGGGAAGTTTTATACACATTTGGTGCAGGCAAAAACAACTGCAAAATCTAGGGAAAAGGGAAAGGGACTGTTTCCTGATATTCCTTTATATCAACTTTTCCTGCAATTCTATGTGCAGATTAATTTCTACTGCAATCACAGCTGTGTTTTGTTTGGATTGTTTTGGTTTTTTGGTTTTTTGTTTTTTTGGTTTTTTTTTTTTTTTTTTCCCCACTAGACTCTAGGTTTATTCAGTGAACAACTTGATTTTGATCCAATGTGAAATAGGAAGACAGTGTTTTCTGTAGAATTTCTGCTTTACATAGAAGCTGAAAGATATGTGCATCTTTGAGAAATCCAGTAAAATGAGACACGTTTCCGTCATCCTAGAACCAGAACTCAACTGGGTATGGGGGAAAAAACAGGGAGAGTCATCTTAAAATGAACAGGAGCTAAAGAAGGGGAGTCATCTGCATGTACAAAGATACACCAAATGCAGGCATCATCTGCATGTACAAAGATGCACCAAATGCAGGCGTCATCTGCATGTACAAAGATGCACCAAATGCAGGCAATCAACCCTATTGCTGTTGTGAATCACGAAATTTAGTTTCCTCGCTATTTGATTCTGCTGGGTTTCCCCATACACATTACACAGCTACTTCCTAGGACTCTGTAAATCGCTTTCTAGACTTTGTGGGTTTCCTACTATCTCTTGCTTCATTAATGCACTTATTACTCTTCCATGCTTTCTGATGTATTGTTGGAACATGTGGCATTTCAGGAGTTATGCGTGAGAGCCTAGAGGACACTGGGTTGAATGATGCACGGAGGAGGGGGCAGAAAGAGGGTGTAAACCAGAGCAAGACCCAAGAGAGCTTTTGAAGCATTACTGACAAACAGGATATTGAGAAGGTTTTATGAATTTCATTAAAGTACAATAGGAGGAAGAAAGGGATCGGCATGTTGATTTGCACAGAGAGGAAGAAGCGAGGTACCTATGGAGTGCCTGGTCATCCTCTGAGGCAGTGACTGCAGGAGGCCTGAGGAGCAACCTTTTCCTTTCCCTTCTCCTTGGGGCTGGCGGCAGTGCTATCCGAGACTTTGCCCTCTGGGCCATTGGCTATTAATAACCGCAGGATGCCTGTGCGAGCAGCCTTCAGGAGTCAAATTCACAGCACTTCGCATCAGCACTTTGTGCTGGGCAGAGCTCGCCTGCGCCCAGGCACCCTGGGTGAGCGGGGCTGCTGGACAAGCCTCCCCAGCAGCACCCAAGACGGGCTGGGAAGAAGCAGCCTGTTGCCGAGCTCTGGGGCAGGCACGTGAGCTGGTCTGAGCCTGACCCTGCAAGCCTGAGGTGAGTTGACCGGGCAGCAAAATAGTTTAGAGCAGATGCTGGAGAGGGTAAATACTGGTTTGGTTTGCAGCAAAACCAAAGAAATGACTGCTGCATAGACCAATGCAGAAAAAGACAGAGAAATTGAACCAAGGGGTAGAACTTGGGGGAGAAAATTATAATTGTGGCCCTGGCTTTAGATACAGGATAGTGGGGAGGATGGGAACCGAGGCTCTAGCAGCCTCCCTGTGGTGGGGTGACTGAAAGAGCAGTAGTCCCAGTGTAGCTCTGAACCTTGTCCATAGCGAAAGACTGCTGCCCCTTTCCTTACGCTAGACCAATTGCATGAAGCAGGCTTTACACTCCCCAGTTCTGCTGGATTAGTAATGGAGGACAGCAGAATGGGATGGAATTGCCCTCATTGCTCCTTGGGAATGGATGTGCTAGAAGAGCATGGTTCCCCACCAGGGCAAGCCCTTTCTGCCTTGCCCCAGGGAGTCCACGTTTGGGGCATACGGATGATTTCCCTCTGTTTTGCCAGTCTTATGACACATCAGATGGGCCATAACCTCCCACCCCCCCTGCCTGCTGGCAGCATTGCTCCTTTCCTGTCAAGCAGGGCCTGCTTCTTTTATATAGCCAAGCAGATGTCCAGCTGCTCGAGGAGAATATGCAGCGCATGCTTTATGGCTGCACCTGCTCACGCTTGCTTTGGGAATACACCAGGATGGGCTATTTTATGATGTGAACTACATAGGCAGCATCTCAGTGAAAATAAAAGCTTGGAAATCTGAAAGAAAACTTAATCCAAGAGAGTATCTGTCAATATGATTGGAGCTGGTTTGTTGTGGCTGGGCTTCCTTTAGCAGTTATCACCTCATCACATGAAAATCATGTTGCAGAAGGAGCAATGCTGGAATGAAACTGCAAAATACATAGGAGATAAAAATGTCTTGGTCACAACAAGGGCAGTGTACAAACTCCTAGAGCCAGCCGTTTGCTTGCTAGTTTTAAAAAATAACTTACAGTTCAATGTCTTCAGTTCTGAAATTTTAAGCAACTAAAGTGCAAAGAAGCACAAAGACAAAGATGGTTAATTATGTGTCCCCCCTATATGCTGTTGTTTGGGCATGGACAGTGTTGAAGTGAAGGCAAGACATTTGCCCTACTTACATTATGTGTGAGAACCCCCAAGGAGAACTCTGAGAAGCTGCCTGAAGTGGAATTGCTGAGAGTTCTCCTAATTTTCCCTGACTTTCTAGTACAGCTCTCTCATCCTGTCTGGGGACAGAGATGGGGAACACTGTACCAGAAGAAATGTCCCCCTTTCCCTCCTACCCCCTCAAAAATTATATGCGACAAGATCATTACATAAGATACAGGAGCAAGTGACTTCAAACAAATTGGGAGAACATCTTTCCTTTTAACAAGTTTGCCTGTGCCTTCTTCCTCCAGTCCTGCTGTAACAAAACAGTAGCAGTTATAAAAGACAGAATTACTTAGGGTTTTGGTTTGTTTCTTTGCTTTTTTTTTTTTTTTTTTTTTACCCCCAGAACGTGCAGTCTAGTGATTTTCTGAATACCTATTCTGATTGTAATAGCACTACCTAAGTATCCAAACCAAACTTGCACATTATTCAAAATGCTCCCAAATAACTCATGGACAGACCCTAAATTTTTATACAAATACATATACTACCATCTAATGATAACTGCATGGTATTATAATATGGTATGATAGAGCAAATTTTCAAACTGACATTCTGTTACTGCAGCACAAGATGATAAGAGTACCACTGTGGCACATGTGGGTGCTGGGAGTCTGCCATGTTGCAATCAAAATGCATAGTTTGGATGACAATGCTATATGACACCTTGGTAATGCTTCTGCTGTGATCTGCTGCCATATTTTGTTTCATAATGCTAAGTCTACAGAGAACACCACAATGGCCTGCTGATGAAATCCTGTATGGGAAGATACCATTCACTAGCTTCTTCATGTGGAAGGGATAGAAAACCTGTGTGAAATGAAGACTGTGTATCTCTTAACTGTAGATGGCAACTAAAAGAAAGGCAAGAAATACCTTTCCAGTGTTTCATTCTCCATTTCCTTTGTGTTTAGAGCAAAGCAGAGAACCATTTGTGGGAATGCCCCTTGCAGGGACTCCTGCTCCTGTTAAAAGGAAAAAGTCCACTAAACTAATTGGGAAGCTGACACACGAAGGTAAGGTATACAAAATTGCATGCATGAGAATTGTTTGGATTTCAAAGCGTTTAAAATTTACCACCCTGTCTGAGTGAACTCCTAGAGCAAGATGGGCAGTGAATGTATCAGGAGGCAGAGCCACAAACGTTACTAAACCTCAGCCTTCAACCACATCACATTTTCTAATTTACTGTTTGAAAGCATCGCACACACACTCAGGTCAACTGTTGACCTAGATTACACTTTGTAAACCCATAGTCTCCTGCAGTGTTAATTTGGATGTACATCAGTGTGAATGGAAAGAGAACACGATCTTTTATGGATATCAATATGGCAGTGCCTAGTTATACCCTATGTTGTTCTCTCTCATATAACCTTTGTCTCTAATTTGGTTTTTGTCTATGTGGGAGTATTCCATTGATTCCAGCACTTATTAGTTGAAAAAGTCAAAGTGGGTAATACACCAGGAAAAATATAACTTGGGACACTTTTCTTTCTACAGAATACCTGTGTATTAGGTAGGGTGAGTTTTAACTAACTGTGATATCCTCACCTTCTCTTTACTTTTGACAGCATGGGGAAGGTTTTTCGAGGTTTGAAAAGTAGTAATTCAGTGTCATCCCTTTCTTCAGCCCCCAAACAGATATGTAGAAACTTCTTTGCTAGGGTACAGGTATATATTTTTTTGTTTGTCCCTAATCCTTTATTCAAGTAAACAAGTAAGTAAAAATCCAATTTTCGGTTATAGGATATTTCCTTCTGTGCTATGAAATAGTGCTATATAAAATTGGCTTGCTAAAAAAAACCCCATAATTTCTTCAGAGAATGTCTAATAAAATGAATGGGCTTATATCAATTTTATACCAGTTTAAGGATGGAGGTTCATTCTCTGTTGCAAATGAGATGTAGAGGTGGATAAGTGGTCTTAATCTTGCTTAATACAGAAAAAAGAAAGCCTGGGAAAGGTTGTTTGTTTCTGAACGAAAAGCTTTAACTTAATTTCTGCAAGATTTTTACACTGAAAATGTTTGAATCCATTGCTTTGATGGAGAATTGGTGCTACCAAATTAAATGGAAAAGGACTTATCAAGTAACCAGTGTATTAAGACTTGAAGAGAACTTCAGCTACTTTTCCCTTTAAAACTTCTCTTTAAAACAAACAAATAAAAAGATATCATAACATTGAATCTTGCCATGGTTTCAGGATATGTTTAAACCAAAGCATGCTAGAGTGGTTTATTTATTGTATGTCAGCCCAGTTCGAAGAGCTGACTGCCACTCATCTAATTCCAGTGGAGGGGAGGTGTGTAGGGCAGTAACCAGACAAGGCAGTGTTGCATTTTGAGGCAGTACTAAGGAATCCTGCTGCACTGACTGAGGTGCTTCAGATATGGGACACACGCATCTAGCTCCACACTTACGCAACTCTCCTCTGTGCAGATTCGCCCTGATTACAATCCAGAGTAAATTCTACCCATCTACATCCAAAGTGTCATCAATGTAAAAATTTAGTGCATAGGCTATTTCCTAAAAATTTAATTTAGGAGAGATTTTGCCTGCTTTGAAGTCACTACTGATGCTGGGAAGCAATGGACAAGAGATGTGGACCAGAACACTTCCTAAAGCATCCCGTTTCATATGTTTTGTAGTCATGCCACAAGAGGTGTCCAAGCTCAACTTGGGGAAGAAGATCAGCATCCCCAGAGATGTAATGTTGGAAGAGCTTTCTCTCCTCACCAACAAAGGATCCAAGATGTTCAAATTACGTCAGCTGAGGGTGGAGAAGTTCATTTATGAGAATAACCCTGATGCCTTCACCGACAATTCTGTGGTAGGTTGGAGATTAAAACTAAAAAGCTATTCCATACACCCAGGGGAAACAGGAATGGAGTGTATACCAAGCTCTCCTCTCTCTGTATGTGCATGGGCTGTGGAGTGTGGGGAGTGGGAATGATCTACTGGTGAAGAAGTGCAGGAAAAAGCCAAAATTATATAAACACACAAGTTTTAATTCCTTTCATCAGCAGCATTAGTTTCCTTCAGCAAATATTTGGTATCACACATGCAGAAGCATTAGAAAATTCAGTACTGAGTGATAAGGGAGGATTGCATGCTTGGCAGGTGTTCAGAGCTTTGCAGGGCAGGAATAATTGTTTTTGTAACCATTCCATTTCTTTTTTGCAAGATGGAAATGATCCATCCATGTCTGACTTCAGCTCCAGTAGGTGTGGTTCTATTTTTAGCTTAGGATATACTTTTATGCTTCCTGCTGGACAGAGTCCTCTGCTAATTTCTGCAAGAAGTTCCATACATTAAAATTCAGACAGAAACCTCTAACCTGACACTGCAATATCTTCAGTATATTTTCCAGAGGCTATGTTTGTTTTCTTCTATTTTCCTATCAGATATGGTATATAAATTCAGCCATTATTTTTTTTCCCCTTTTTATGAGTTAGTACTGTTATTTAATCTTTGAACTTCTCTCTACAGTTAGTTGCCTGTGTAAGTCATCTGAAGATACTTAAACTCTTACAAATTAAACTCTTCTTTCACATAGTTGTCAGCAGTTCAGTAAAACAAATAGAAAATGTTTCAGGTTCATATGCATTTTGGTGTAGCAACTTCTCTTCTGAAGTTCTTTAAAATTTATTTGGTGTCATTTTGTCCCTTTATGTCATCTATTTTCCAGTCCAAGGAAACTCAAGCAAAATAATAAGAATCAAGCTGAAGAAAATGTTCTGCCAAACAAAAATGTGCTATTTTTTAGCCCTCTGTTGTTTTCAAAAGCAGCAATAAGTAAATCCTTGTAGTTCACTTCTAAAAATTACAGTTTGGGAAGCAGGATGTGGAAAGATGCCTGAAAAAAATAAAAGTCATTAAAATTACAACAGTAGGTCAGATTACAGATCAGGGACGACAGACCAGAAATACAGCAAACATATCTGATGGTGTTAGACTTGGGGCAGTTTCTTCATCTCTTTGTGATTTAAGTAGTTCATCTCTTCAGTGAGTTATCTCCTGGAAAGGATGTAAGAATAAATGGTGTGTTGAACTTCGAACTCCAGATGAAAATCCTAGACAAATGCAAGCTTTTTTTATAAATACTCGGCAATTTCAGAGCTCCTAAAAAATATGAAGGCCGAGTTCATATGTCAGAATCTGCTGCAGTGAGGAGAACTGAGAAAATAACAAGGTGAGGTAATAAAAAGACCGAAGTCCAAACTTCCAGAAATTTGAGAGTGTTGTTTAAGGGTGTCCAATCAGAGAAACACAAAGCAAATGAGTTGTGGCAAACTGATTCAAAACTGGCTATGCAGAGTCCCTCCAAGACTGACATTACAAAGGCTGATGACAATCACTTCTTTTTTGTTAGATGTTTTTCCTCCTTTGTTTATTCATCCATGCCTGACTTTCACTCCATACCCTTTCTGTAGTGAATCTCTCCCTCTGTTCTGTAAGAACACCCCTGCTCCCAAGCTATTTGAGCAAGACTGTAAGATGCTGTGCTATGGAGAAATGTATTTGGGGTTAGACAAGATGCTAACAAGCTGAGGATTTTCTTTATGGCTTTCCTATATGAGAACAATAGCATGGTCTCCAAACAGCAGATGGTACTCTACTTTAAAATCCCCAATGATTCACTTTCAGGGCTATTTTTTTCTCCACATTCATGATAACAAATAACAGATAACAAATCTCAATTGGTCAGTGCAGAAAGACTTCAGTCTGCCCTAGAGCCCTTGTGCAGGGCCGGCTTAGCAGGACCACAAACATAATTGTTACCATTTGCTCGTTGCCCTGTGGGCTCTGCCAGGCTGCACCCACTGCCTCTTTGGATAACTATTCTCAGCACCACAGCCAGCATCAGTTAGCACCTTTGCTGGCAGTCAGAGCAGTGAGAAGAAAAGCTGAGCGATCCCTGCAACTGAGCCATCCTCTTGGAGAGCTGGTTGCTCTTGGACAGGTAAAGGCAACAGATCTGTGGCCTCCCTGTTATCTTCCAAACCATCAGGACAGCGCCTGACCTTAGCATCAAGTAACTTTCATCAAAAAGCCCTTCTGATTGCAATATTTGATTAGCTTTCTGTTCCTTTCCTTTCTTGCTCCTGGCTCTGCTCAAAGGCGGATACAAAAAGAAGGCTTAAACAAAAGAAAATTCTGGGAGGAAGATAATGTCAGAGTAAAGCATTCCTACTGTTACTTCCAGTTTACTTCCCCCCTCCCAGTTAATTTTCACGTCCTTTGCTCCCCATCCCAAAGAAGTCATTGTGCTTTTAAGGCTGTGGGACAGTGAAGGGATTTAAAGCTGGTGTTGCGTTTTCTGCTTTTATGTAATACATTCCTTAACTGTCTTAGAATATTCTCAGGACACACTTAGCAAAACAGGGCAAGAAAGGTCTGGGATGGAGTTTCTTTCCCCCCCCAAAAGTTTGACAGCAAGGTAATGTAATGTAAAAACACACAAAGAGAAAGGTTATTAAAAATAAATCCAAACCATATAAGGGGACCCAGAATAGCCTGTGCTGTAGCCATAAACCTTCCACACAAGGGAGAATATCTCAGCAGTCATGTGTCATTGATCCACCCTCCTCCTTCTCTCCTCCTCCTTCTCCTCCAGCCAAATAACTACACTGGATAATCAGATCACTCTCCTTACTTTTAGTGGAGAAAACATATATATTGTGTGTGCATGAACGTCAGACAGCCCCATGCAAAAGTGAAAACCTGCCACTCTATCAATGCTGCAATGTTTGCAGTTAAAGGCAAACAGTAGGTAAACCCACAGTCAAAAGGACCAACCATTCCCAACATAAGCAAATGAAATGCATTACCTATAGCTCTTTTCAATACTATGACCCTCTTTGCTTGCAAACATGCAGTACAAGGTGATTCGTTCAGGGAGGGCTGAGTTTGACACTTTTAGCACACTGATATCCTGCCAAACAGAGAGAGTTCGTGTGAAGTACTTGTTTGGCGCTGTGCTGCAGAAGCTGGGTTCTGCTGAGCCCTGTCTAGTAAATCAGGAGGATTTCTCCTCACCCCAGGCTGTGCCACTCTGTAACAGGAGCTCTGGTTCTCTCCATGTCTCAGAGAATGTTATCAACCTCACTGTGGAGCCGCAAGAAGCAGTTTACTACTGACTGAAGACCATGATGAAATCCTATCTTGCTATCTCTATCTCTATTACTATAGCATCTGACCAACTACAGCATGAAGGAAATTACTACATTTATTTTTTAATGTTGAAACTGAACGATGGGGTAGATTAACAAATGACCCAAAATCATAGAGAGAAACTCAGTCTTATCTCTAGGTGTCCTAAATCCCACCTCACTGTTCAGCAATTAATAGATCTGCAGTTCACAGACCTTTCCTCCACTTCATAATGCTAAATTTGCTTGGCCTCAAACACATAAAGTTCATGTGAAACTTTATTTCTCATTCCTAGAGTCCCATTCATTATTGCCCTAACTCCTCTCAAGGTCCCACCTCCACTTTGGGAACCTCTGTGTAAGACCTTCTTGCTGTCATCAAGTGGAAACTGAGAGCAAAACCATAGTTATGCTTTTTGGGTGTTACTGTTATGTTGTTTTTCTTCCAGTGAGGATCCTTAAAAATAGTCTTTCTGCTAGTCAAAACCTGTGGCCTGATTTGGGTTACATGCAGGAGGCAGTTTATAGAAAGGCTTGATTTGTCTTGTCTTGTCTTCTCTCCCCTCTCCCCCCCCCCCACCCCCCACCCCCCACCTCTTTCTGCTTTACCTATGAGATTTTAAATTAAAACCATCAGGAAGGTGGAATAACCAATATATGAATAGACAAGTGATCATCAGTAGTACATCAAAAAAGCCAAGACCCACACACAAAAAAACCCACCTTGATACTTTCTCAGACTTGCCCACAAGTTAAAATAAATGCAGTTTCCATATCTTGGCAATGCTTGTATGAAAACAAGTGGAATATGTGCTGGCAAGTAATTTCTGCTGAACTTCAGGTCAATATGACTCTTCAGATAAACTAAGAGAACAACTGTGAAATAAAACATAAGAAGTGAAAAAGGGTTAAAGAAATGGATTGCTCTTCTTCTGGATAATGGCAGGAGTTACCCTGTATTCCTTTTGCTGCTGAACAAGAACTCAGAGGAGTAAGCAGAGGTGAAAGGAAGAAAATGGAAGTGCTTATGTTACATTGCCAAAAGTGGTGCTTCACAGCAGACCAAAGTACACAACCAACCTGCCTCAGAGATTTTACATGTTAAATAATCAGACATGATACATGTGAATGAAAGCATATGGATGGAGGAACAGAGATGTTACCGTGCAGTTACTTTGTTTAATGCACAAGTGTGCACTGATGGCTCTGTTTACCCCTTCATGTACTTAGAAGAATGCCAGTTGAGATCATTGGAGGTAGGGTTAAATGGAAAATGTTAGGAAAAGCATTCTTTCTAGGAAGTCTGTTCTGCAGGGAATGTTAAACCTCTTGAACAAATATTACAGGACAACTGCAAGCTGAGATATCAGAGTGTCTCAGGTTATGACATAAGTGGAGCAAGCCAGCTGAGATGTAGCTTTTCTAGCAAAATGAGCCTTGCTGTGCTGGAGTTGCTTTGGTACAGAAGACCTAGAGGTCCCAACTATACCCAAAGCTGTATAAGAGTGCACATGAAGTCTGATGCCTTCTTACTCAAGAGGTGACTGGTATAGAAACAGTAGCATGTCAGAGAGGAAGAGCCTTTTATTTTCCACAGCAGTTTGTTGGAGCACTGTGAGAAAACTTTGGACTGAAATTCTTAAACTCAGTTTCTTTCATCCACAAAGGAAATGTACAAGGATGATATGAAATATACAGATAAGATATAAATAATTTTGTGTAGTATTAGATAAAAATCCCCATTATTTAGATGGGTAAATTCAGGCATAGAGGCAAAAAATAATTTGTCTAAGATTAAACAGCAAGTCAGAAGTAGACCTGGAAATATAAAGCAGGAGCTCAACCCGTCCTCTTGGGGGAGCATGTTTAAAAAGAAATTAGCTTAAGATACTTTAACAGCTGAGGCTACTTTTTATTTTCATCCTTTTTTTTTTTTTTTTAAGTGAATCATAGGTTTAAGGCTATGCAACTCCAAATTAAGGACCGGGGCACACACTTTGATAAAAACAGCAAGCAGTCTATGACACTCTCCAAGTGTCTGAATTTTAAATCTCCCATCCCACAATTGAGGAGCATTTGAGTGGCTGCCACTGAGAGTACGTGGTCACAGTAACTTCAGAAGTGTTAGTAACCACATAGGCATCAAATCTTTGGGAAGCTCTTTATCAGTGAGGTGGAAATAGAAACACATTTGCTGGCCTCAATCATTTTCTTTAGGGCACAGCAAGGAGCTGACGGGAAGCACACAGTGTCTCCTCCTGGGGACTGCCTGCAGTGACGTCAGGGCCTTGAGATAACTTAGAGATCTCAGCTCCATTAGTGGGTTCATCTTTCATTACCTATTTTTCAAGAGACACATGCAGTAGCTCTAGAGAATTCAGAATTCATTTGTCTAGGCATTCAGCCTGCAGGACCAGACTCTTGCTTAGCACTAAGGACTTCAAAGACATGAGCCCAATTTGTTTAGCCAACCCAGGGGACTACGCATCACATGAACTTGCCACAATTGCTCTCTTGTTACAGTGGATTTAGGGATGCTCAGGGACTGATAACAACCACAACTTCCAGCAACACAAAGACAGGGCAGATGCTACCACAGAGGAACTGTGTGATCTGCCCCCAGATCGAACAGGAGAAGATTATCAGCCTTCTCAATTGACACTCCTGGGTTTCTCTCCTGGGACTTCTACCAACAGGGTCAATCAACCGTAAATGAGAGGTCAGTTTTGTGATGTGAATATGCATATACATAAAAGCTCCCCATGCTGTTAGCAATGGCCCAAGACACACATTCCCCTTAAGTGTAAGCCATATTTCACTCCAAGCACCCTGACCAGAGGCATGCTGTAAGCACTGGAGACAAAGCTGTACCTACTCAGGTACCTTGTTTAGTGATAATACTGCAATTTAAAATAACACCAGATGACAACGATGTCCCTTCTTGGTCACATCAAATACTACTGTGTACGAAATCAAACCAGCCCTTTTTACCGTAGCTCATGTTATACTGATGTTTTATGACTTTTTTTTTTTCTGCAGAAAAGTGCATGTAAGTAATCAGAGGAGAAGAGAAATAAGCATTTAATTCTCAAGAAGGGCACACAACACGGGTGAAGCTTGAAGAAAAACAGATGCAAATCCTATTTTGAAATTACTGAGCAGATCAGTAGAAGCATTAACCTTGCATATATATTAACATTTTGAGAATAACCTCATTCTGACCCCTAGCCCTCAAAATACCCTTTTTTCTGTTTGCCTTTCTACAGCTACATAGCTCCCACGCATAATTGAACAGATTGCCCTGCTAGCTCCTGTGTACAGCTTAATGCTCACAATCCTCTCAGCACTCAGTGCTTCCTGACATTCAGGAGAACATTATCTCCTCTGTTCCTAAAAAGGGAATTCCCTACAGCTAGGAGAAGGACAGGCAGTCCCTAAAGGCCCTGGGGGCACCAGCTCTGCCAATCCAGCCTTCAGCTGGCTGCCTGCCTGGGTTGCAGCCTGGTGACCTGCTGTGAAACCCTGGACACTGTTGCTGGAGACACAGGGAACAGAGGGTTAGATAATTCTGCCTTGAGCCGTGTGGGGTTTGCACTTCTCATCTATTTTTAGCTAACATAACAGCTGGCCTTGGAAGCCTGTTTACAGCCTGGAAAGCTTCTTTTTGCTAAACTGTACTAGGTGTAAGGGTCCTGAGAAAACCTTAACCCTCTGAGCGCCAGCCCTGAGGTTGGTACTCTTGTCTCCCATTGATGGCCTGAGATGAATTTATACAAGCAGAACTGCATCATGAGGAACCACAGATTCATTCAATTCAGCTGTATTTGTTACATCTTTGTGCATCTATAGCCAATCCCCTAGTCCAACAGGAAAGATCGTATGTGATAAATGATCCAGGTTACTTGTATTGTACAGCTGTGTGGGCTGTGATACACAAGAGGTACTTTTTTTTGTATCTGACAGGAATCAAGCTTTGATCTCACTTATGACCAATACAGAAAACATTTTTCTGAACATATTACATCAGTTTCTGTTCCACACAAGTATTTATTAAAATTGCTGTGTGCAAAGACAGGACCTTGTGCTGTCACCACAGGGTCCTGCATGGACTGCTTGCTCTTTCACTATGTACTGTAGGGGCTATGCCTTCTAGCCTGGACTGGGGAGAGTGGATGGCCTGGAAAATAAGACCAACTTGATTTTACTGATGGATACAGCTTTCTTTCTTGCCTTGTTGCTGTTTAGATTTGGTTTGCTAATGCACATATTGCTACAAACAATCCCCTTCCTCTTTGTCATTTTCATCTTGTGGTCTCCAGGAAGTCTTTTATGTTTTTCCAGGCTGCTATCTTTGCAGTCTTTCTCAGCATGTAAACACCCCTCCCCATGCAGACCTTCATATATATGGAAAACAGACATATAGGCAGTCATCTTCCAGGTTTTTATGTTGTCACAGGTACCGTTGTTCTCGTGCCTTGTAACACTTAGCTCCCACACTGTAATCAAGCTGACTTTGCTGGGCTATCTTAATCTTGACATTAAACCACTTCCTATTTCTTGTCCATCTTGCTTTCCCACTGGTTAGCCAATGTATCTCTGTCTGGACCTTTCCCTGCCCTGGCAAAAGCTGTATTTCCTTTCCCTTCCTCCTGTATTTCATACTGATCACTGTTGGGACCACAATACACAGATCCCTCTCTTCTTAGACTGATCATATAAAATGACCACAAGGTGTCCATTAAAGCATGTCCTTCCACTGCCCTTGCTTCTGTTCTACAACTGCTCCTATACTGAATATACAAGCACTAACACATGAAGTTCTGCAGCTGGTTTTGTAACTGAGACACAAAATTGGTCACATCACAGATACTTGGGAGTTCACATTCTGGGACCCAACCCTGCATATGTGAATGGATCATGTCCTGTAACAGGGATTCCAATTCTTTTCTCCTGCCCTAGGATCACTTTCAGAAGTTCATCCCACCAGGAGGGCATTACGGGCAAGATGCTCATGGCTATGCCCATGGGCGGATGGTAGGAGGAGTGACAGCCGGGCAGCATGGCTCCAGTAAGCAGCAGTATCCCGGTGGTCCTCCTAGGCCTGGAAGCAAAGGAGGCTCTAGGGAGAGCGAAGGGGAACGTGCGGGGGAATCAGCTGGAAGTGGTGGAGGAGGCGATGGTACCGAGAAAGGCAAGTATCTCTCTCTGCAAGAACACCAAATAACTAAAGCTACCAGAGCTCATGCCAACCTTACTCTTAGGGGCAAGTAAATTACTTTGACTAAAACCCGAATTCTTCCAAACTAAGTTTCATTGAAAAGCCTAGAAGAGTTGAACTGCCTTTAGCTTGACAGTTTTGTTTGCACAGTTCTGTGTCGCTCAGTCATAGGCAAGAAGCAGAAATACCTTCCTTGGCTGGACCAACAAAATGATGGGAAACTTAACTACTGAGCTCCTAAGGTTGATACAGCAGTATGCCAGTATGGCATATCCTTCTCTTTCAAGGGTTTCACACTGACCATTACTGGAAATAGCAGTATTAGCTCTTTAGCTCAGCAGTCTGACCTGATACATCAGTCTCGAGTATATCAGCCCTGATTTCAATTCAAAACTTCCACCTAAATGAACATCACTTTTTGGATAATCTTCAGAAAGGAACAGCAATATTTCTAAAAGTTAACTGGTAATTACCACTGGTCTACTGGAGCAATATCTTTATGAGTAGAAGTACTTTTCATTTAATTTAGTCTTTGCTTGATTTTATCCTCTCTTTGGCCAGAAACCTCTAGAACCAAATCCCTTGTAAGAGAATCAGCAGGAGAAATCATAATTTTAACAGTCCCTATGGGATTTTACAACAAAAAGCAAATCTGCTTGGGAACCAGGAACCACTGTTGTAAGTGACCAAATGAGTGTTTTGTAAAATCCAAGGCTTTTCATTTACATTCTGGAAGAATGTTCATTTTATAACAAAATCAGCTTTTACATTTCTGGGAATCCCTGTGAAAAAGAAATCTGTGTAGACTGTCTTCTTATAGGAGATTATTCTCCATTGTTATCCTAGTCCTGTGTGCAGGGAGAAGGAGGATTAATATCATCCCATAGCTTTTACTGCACAGATGGATCCCAACTGCTTTTAGTTTCAACCCTAGCAATCAATTTACTTCCAAAGTACTTAGTTCAAGTCCTTCACACGGAAAGAGGGGGGTAGTTGGTTTTATTTTTTTTTAATAAAAATGAGATTCTTGTACATGTCTGCATTTCTCTGAAGCCAGGAAAGCCCAGGATTTTATAAGATTTGAAGAAAATAAGCAAGACAAAGAAAGAAGGTGTGATAAAGGAGAACATTATTTGCCACTTACTTTATAAGGATTTATGTTTTTTAAGCACCATGAAAGCACCAGAATGTTAAACAATAACCTATTATTTCCACCTACCCTAATCAAGCTAAGGAGAAGTCATTCCTCAGTTTTAAGTTTTATGAAGGATGAGAATCTTAAAAGTGTGCTACATATAAATACACAACCAATGTTCTTATTAGAAAGGTAGTATTATACCCAACTAGAAACAAAAAATTTAAAAAAAAAAAGGGGGCACAGGGAATGAAAACACTTGTCTAAGCTCATTTGCTAATGAAGCAGCCAGAAACTAACCTAAAATTTCTGGCAATCAAGTATCTAACTTAACAGCAAAGTTAGCTCTGTCATTGACAGAATTTTAACTTCCAGAGAGATATGCCATCATATTTTCAAACTGCTTTTAGCCATCCTGAGGTGTTTGAGACAGACCTGTCTCTAACATCCTGGTTCAAGAGGGGGAAAATATGAATGTCTGTTCATGTAATCACAAAGAAAATGCTGACTTATAAAAATACTGATACAAGGGAGATGGTAATTTTAGAACAGTCAAGAATAGACTGCTGAGGAAGATGTTATTAAAGACGGTTGTGAGCTGCCAAGACCCTGAAATATGATGATTAAAGGTTTTTGGTCAGGTAGTGTCAACTTCAAAGTTTGATCCTAGTTTTGGATTGTGCAGTCAGGGCTTTGTTTATTGCAACTGATGACGATGGTGAGGTTTATGTAGTGGGGTTATGTCTGCTGTAATCAGACAGATAAGACAGAAGTAAATTATGAAATTGGATAGCATTTTGCCTTATATAAAGCTTCCCTGGAAGTAGTGAAAGAGGTAATGGGATGAGGACATTGTGTTTTGGGATAAGAGGTTTCTATGTGAGAGACCAGAGAGAAGAATGAAAAATTAGCTTTCAAATATATGCTCGAAAATTCCTGGATGAGTGGCTCTTAGACTGTGGTACACCTGGTTTTGTGGATAAGGATGGAAGTAGCATATGACAGCCTTTTAAAAGAGAAATATAACCATAAAATCTCAGACTTGATGTAGGAGCTACAGAATCTGGAAACGAAGCTGGTGTCTTAACTTCAATAGCAGAATGCAGAAAGGCAATGTATTTAGAGTGAGTGTCATCTAACTAGAGTGTTTTACCTTCCTCTGTTCACAGATGGAAAGTCGGGAGGCAAAAAAATCACTGTATTTAAAACTTACATCTCCCCCTGGGAACGAGCAATGGGTATCAGCCCTGAGGACAAAAGTCAGTTGACCATTGATTTACTGTCATATAGTCCCAAAGCTGATTTCCCCCATTACAAGTCTTTTAACCGGTAAGTCTTCTTGGACATTCAGTTCTGTTTATTTAGCAGAAGAAAACACAATAACCCTGGTCATAGCCCTCCTGTCTTGTGCCATGTAAATAAGTTTTAGTTGTACGTCATTTTGCTTAACACAGTCTCCCATGGATGAATGTTTGGAGGCCTACAAAGAGAAGATACATTAAGAGCTAGAGATTTTAATTCAGTTTATGGACAGAAAACCTACACAGCTGGATAAGAGGACTTTAATTCTATTTCCTCTTCTTTCTCGCCCCATTTGTCCCGGGAGATTTAGCTTGCCACTGTTTATTACTGCAGCCATTTAAAGTTCAAGAGTTCAGGAAAAATATTTATGATCAGAAGTCACATACTTCACAGTACTTCAAATAAGAATCAGGATCTTCCTGATGCTTCTGATAAGAATGGAAAGTTTTACAAATATTTCTAAGGCAGCAACAATTTTCTGTTAACCTCTCTATATAATTTTGCCCCTCACTTCCATAGCCTCAGGACATCAGTACCCAGGACAAACCCAAATCCCACTCATTTCTGCAATAATGCAGCCTCTGCTTCCTACATGTTGGGGGTACCAACAGGTGTGAAAGGTGTATTGGTTTGATCGAGATTGATGCAACATGGGTGAAGGAAGTGCACAGCAGAGAGGAGGAGGGGGGCATTTTAAAATCTTTTTTAGTACATAGGCAATGGATACGTATAGGTCCTTGTGAAGGATTTGTTGGCCAGTCAACCACAACAGTGGTAAAAGTCACAGTCTTAATAACTTTGATTATTTATTTTCTAAATCCCATTGTTTACCTATGCTCTGTTCACTAACTCCATGTATTCCCCTTTGCCAGGACTGCCATGCCTTACGGGGGTTATGAGAAAGCAGCCAAACGGATGACCTTCAAAGTGCCTCAGTTTGATATTTGCCCTTTGCTTCCAGAATCTCTCATGATATATAATCAAAATTTCAGCAACAGACCCTCCTTCAACAGAACCCCAATACCTTGGATGCCTTCAGGAGACTCCTCCGAGTACCATATTGAGGTCAATGTACCAAGGAGTGGTGAAACAGAAGAGCTGTAAATCCCTACTGCCAAGGCCAGCTTTTTTTCTCAGTCCCTTCTATTTGCAAGTTGATAGTAAGGAGCTGAAAAGTGCAACTCCAGTTCTGTCAGCACTTCCTTTCTTTTGTCCTTACCCCAGACAAGTTCCTAGCAGGTTCTAAACTTATCTTTGCTGTGGTGTTAATCCATTTCAGAAACAGTTTGAGGGAAAGGAGCTTTTTATTCACCAGGACATAAAAGGGCAAAACTAGGAAGTGTTTTTCTGTTTAGCAATGCTAAATGCTGCCTGTCTGCTCTATAATAAATGTGTTTTGTCATATATTAGCAAGTAATAAAACACAAAGAGGAAAAAAAGCCTTTGTGTTTTCTCTTTTAAAAACGCAGCTGAATCAGTATGGGAATTAGCAATAACAAGTTTCAATCTCACAACTAGGCTGTTAGCATGGGAAGAAATATCAAGGACTGATGGGGAAGATCATAAGACAGATATACATCAAGGTGGCCTGGATAAATACTGCAAAACTGGTGGTGAAGAATGATGACTTCGAGTGGAAATGATACAGGTAATCATAACAGCATCAGAGATAAAAGAGCAAGTGAGCCTCTTGGTATAACAGACATTAAAGTATTTCACGGTCACCTAAGATTCCTCAGTTCTCTAGAGTATAAAATAGATGACAGCTTAAGCAGGTTTTTTCTCACACAAAGAGACCAATAAGGCAATAGGTCAGGAAGGAATAAAGGCACACTCAAGTGAGATGACTTGCCCATAGTTACAGATCAAGAAAGAAAAAGCGTTAATTACAACAGAAATAATTTGACACCTGCCACAGTGCATTACATGTTCAATCATACAGCATCAAAGTCTATTCCACTTATTGTAACAGTTTTTGCCACACACACACAGGAAGAAAGGCAGGCACTGTGAAAAACCAATAAAGAACTTTATTTTTCTACATGAAATACCTTGTTTCATGAACAGTTGCACTCTGACACATAACATACAAGATCACTGTTTCATTACCATACCCTAGCTCAGCCTGCATGGAGACTGGTTTGGAATTCTCTGTGATGGTGCCTTTAGATCAACATTTCCTCTTACAAACAAGGCTAAACAGCTCATTTAGAGGGACAGCTTCCACCGAGGTACTTTTAATTTAGGAGTTTTTTCTCCTTGTCTGGAAATCTCTGCAACAATGTATTTGATTTTTATTCTCTTTGGATAGCTATGTGGTTGACTATTACACTCCTCTAAAAGGCTACTGCCAGGGCTACCCTGAGATCTCTTAAAAATTGTGCTAATAATAACAAGATGCAGAAGTAATGAAAAAGTACTTTCCTAACCTTTCTGCTGAAATGACTAAATAACATTTACTATATATTCTATTAAACGATTAAGATGTATCCATAACTCAGTTCTGTGAGTAAACTTAAAAACATTAAGGCGGTACTTTGATCTTCTGAAGAACATTTCAACAAAAATGAGAAAGGTTGTCTTTTTTGACATGTTCCTATGAAGTATTTGAAGTCTTAGTTGAAAACAAATCCTCAGAAAAACTTGTTTTGTTTCTTCGGATAAAATGGACTCAGGAATTAGTTGAAAACACATTTCCCTCATCAGTTTCCTTTTTTCATGCCTACATAAACACATGCAAATTTCACTGCTGAAAGACATTTAAATGGGAAATTCTCAAATTCTACTGAACTATTAGTTTATTTTGTATTTGTTCTCTGTCTGGAGATAAAGTTGCTCTGTGTTTTCCAACATTTTTAATCAATCTAGCTTTTTCAATTGCATTGTAAATAAGTGGGATGGATTTCTTTTCCAGTTCAAAAAGTATTCTAACTATATTACAAGAATCCAGTCTACAAAGAGAATGTCAGCAGTTCAGCAAGACAAATGAAATTTCAGAGAAAACTAGGTGATACTAAGCAAAATATTGTCCCACCACATCTGAGCATGGCAGGCAGAGCTCAGTGCTGGTGACAGGGTCCATCAATCATCTCAGACATGGTGTGGGGATGAATCAGGCACAGGGGCCATCCATGGTATCTGGTCAGGAACAAAAGGAGACATGGGTGGACAGAAGCTACACTGTGCATCCAAAGTCCACCTGGGAGACAGGATAGCTCCAGCACAGGTCTCAGGTCCAACCAGCAGACCAGAGTGCAAGCCAGCACCCCTACAACGCAGCTCGGACAAGGACCCCAGGCCCAGGACTCAGCTTAAATGGGCTTTCTGGGCCATAAGTGGGTTGAAAGTCCCAGGTGAGGCTGATCAGGGCAACTAAGGGCTGTTGGTACACACAGGGCAATGTTACCAAAATGTGTGAGAATTCCAGAATAATCACATCAATCATTTGAGTTCTACTGGTGCATAATAAAAAAAGGACTAAATAGAATAGGACCTTAAACAGGCAAGGGAAAGGTAAGAAATACAGTGCCGAAATAGCACAGTGCTCTCTGGTGGTGTAGTTTCAAAGTTCTCATGTACAAGGAAAGCAGCAGCATCCAGCAAGTAGGTCAAAGGACTGGATATATACCCAAAGCCCTTTCTGGTTCATCATGTGCTGCTGAAAGAGAGTTTTTGCATGTGCATTCCATTATCCCAAACCCTAAACAGGGATAAAAAGTTGCAATGTGCTTGGAATTAGTATTGTATCACTGCAAATTATTAATTATATTGCTATAATTCATACTTATGAGAGGATCCTTCAGTTTTGGTAAATTTGCTTAACGAGGCATATAGCTCTTCTTTTACCAGTACACTTTCAATCTCAAATCCTGTCAAGCAGAATTTATATGCTTTTATTTCTAGTACAAAATGAGAAATACAGCACTATGTGTTGTAGAACATTTCAGACCACTATTGTCTTGCTGTTTACGTAGCTTAAGATACATGCTAGTTTAGTCATTATTCAAAGTAACGTTAAAAGTCTCAAAAATAATTAATTTCAGTGAGGCTTACAGCTACTGTAACCAGGGCAGAAGTTTGTCCAAAATGATCTAATATTTAAGAGGAAGTAAGTAACTCCTCCTGCTCTTTGCTTTCCTTGGGCTATGATGTAGACTCAGGGGAATTGCCTATGTCAGAGAATTATTTATATCGGGAATAAGAGGATTTTATAAGATTTAATTACAGTGGATTTCCCCCACATACTGGGAGCTACAGAATAGAAACTCAGTCATCTGCTTTTAAGCAGGATCATCGTAGTTAGAGATAAAAAAGAACTAACAAATTATTGAGTCCATCCTCTTGTAGAGGCAGGCTACAGTTCCCTCATAGAGGATGTACTGGATATTAAGCTTATACTCCCTGGAACAGCAGCCAAAAATCCATTTAATAGAGAGGGACTGGCCCATGAAAAACAGATGGGATAGAATTTTGTGATGTTCAGATCTTTCATTCAGGACAAAAAGTTCTTATATTTTTAGTTATTTACAGTGTTATTTTTAGGAATATTATTTTATAGTTTCCAAGCTTTGACATGTTTCTCTCATGTAAGCCACACTGAAAATGTATAAAAAATAGTGCCCACATTCTAATGTACAAGAAAGATGTTTAACAAAATCTCAGCAATACTATCCATAAATATGGACTCATGTTTTAAAATCTTGCCTGAAGTTATATCTGATGGCATAAATATTCAGCAGGTAGTAGCACAGTAGGTATGTTTTTCTGTGTTGTGCAGAAAATCTTCCATCTGACTGCAATGTATTCCCTAATCAAAGGTTTTGCATCTCATAATTGTCCCTCTCATGTGAGCAGCTTGCCATTAGTGATGATGATGATATAATTCATAGAACTAACATCTGGAAATTACATTTGATGTTGTTATTGACAGAGCATTTAGAGGAGATGGCTTTGTCATTACGCTTAGTGACTCTGAAATAAAATCTGGAACAGCTTCAGGCTGTTAGGAGAATATGGGCTGTGTTTTGTTTGACTTTTTTTTTTTAATCATATTGTGAATACATAAAATGTATTCACTTCTCTTATACAAGATGGCAGGCACCAGACAGGCAAGAGCCTGAACACGATTGTTCTGTTACAGAGCGGAGAGGTCTGCATGTGGCCATCCCTCCATGAGAAGTGCTGACTTGTGGTACAAGGCTTGAATATCCACTGCACTGAGGTTTTTTTCTTGTCTGCAAGTATATGTTATCTTCTATAGATGACTGACGCAGGTGCAATCATCTGGCAAGTGCCCCACTTCCAAAGGACAGCCCTTTGGCACAAGAAGCTGCTGTTAGCACTTGTCTGGCAACTTACAGGGTTCACTGCTGCCCATCAGCAGCCTGTGTTCTAATTTCTCTTGAATGTGTATTTGAAAAGTTTGCAAGCCAGCTTGCTGGCTCACAGCACAGTAATACGTTTAGATGCAATCTCATCTATGCCCAAATCCTCAAATTGCAGGTTACAAACTAGTTTAGACAAGTTGCCTGTTCTGTCTTGGAGATGTGCCTGACCAGGACCAAAGATAATCAAACAGAATTTGCAGACACATGCAGAAGCAAGATTGCACACATTTTGAGGAACTTTTGTGAACTGCTGAGTATGTGGGATTTGAGACATTATTAATTATATTCACGGCATCATATATCTACTAGTAAAAGTCTCTTCAGCTAATTTAATCAATTAGCAGTGCATTTATGCTGTACCTCTTGATCTCTATGTATTTAACACACAGTGTCATCTTCCCTCTGATGATCATCATCTGCTTGCAGTACAGTTTACATGACTTTTTAATGAGTGTAAGTATTTGCTCAGATATATTGTGTTAATTAAGCAGGAAAAGAGAACTACATAACTTCTCTGAAGCAATGTTCTTAAATGCAACCTAAACTCCAATCAGCTTAATAAACAAATTTTCAAATATAAACTCTTCCTTTAATTTTCAATTATACTTTTTAGAAACATTCTTTATACCAAAACTTGTAATGCACATTTTCCAACTTTTTAAAGAAAACCTGCAGGTTCTTTATGTTTTGACCTCCTGATTAACAATAAAAACCCACAAAATGTTTTGTGAAAGGAGTTTTAATTTAAAAACCTGTTTTTCATTTAAAGAAAATTCTATCTGGTATACTTTCAAGGAGAACTGACACAAATAAATTTGCAGACAGGGACCACTACCCTTTAAAAAATAGGAAGACGTTACAGGTATAGCTCTAGCTAAAGTTATAATGAACAGTTGCCTTTCAAAAACTCACAGTGAACAATTAAACACATAAATGAGGTGAGATTAATTTAGGGTTATAAGTAGTTTTTCTAATGCCAAACCAAAGTAGTTATTCCTCTTTGTTCTTCTAACAAGGCTTACTGGAAACACTTATTTTTGGGAAATTTGGACAGGGAAGACACAAACATACTACAAAAGGCTGACAAAGATCTCACCTCTTCTCAAGCTCAGATATAAGCCAAGGGCAACACCACTGTTTTACTCCAGGTCCCCTGCATTTGTAGCTGGGGAGAAAAAAATCATACAAGAAGGGTACTAACAGCAGTGAAGAAGGCTAGCCACTAAGCAGTGCCTTACTTGTGCTCCAAAACAACCCTCTACATGAAAGAGTAAATAAGGACTCTGCAGACTTCCCCTTCTTACCGGGGAAGTTCCTGCCTTAAGCAACATTCTCAGTATACATCATTCACTGCAGGAAAAACAAAGTGGCCCCTGGAAAGAGGAACAAACAAATGAGAAACTTTCTGCTGGCCAGTCTAAAGACAACCTATGGGCCTTATCGCGCAGGACCTCTCCTGCTCACAGTTGCTATACAAATTCAATTCCACTGAAGAGCACTTCAGTCAAACTCCACAGTGCCTGAATCAGATGAGTAATTACTTCCATATTCTATTATAAAAACAGCCATACTTTAATGGGCCTGAAGCTAACAAGGATTCAGGGCTTCATTATATCTACTGTCTCTAAATGTTTCTCTTAATTATCTTAGGCCCCTAAGAGAGGATTGAGGCCTTCCTTATTTGCTTGCTTTCCCAGTATGATTGGCTTGATTCGCAAACTGAGACTAAAATGGGATGGGAG